TCACATGTACTGAATTTGCCTGATATTTGCTCGAATATTCGAGATCTTCATCGAGTTCCGCAATTTCATTCTTTTCGTTTCTAGCTGTCTACCTTTTTCTGGAGGATTCAATTGGTGCCTCCAAGCTTGTCCTTGAATTGTGAAGATCGAATGATATTTATTATTTCACAACAAAAAATTAGTCCAGTCATCACTAAGCCTAAACAAATTGCTCATGAGATATGCATCAATACTAGTGACACAAAAGAGCTCTTCTATTTCATTTTTCTCTGTCCATGAAAGAGCAGCAAAAACCAAAGTAACATCGATTAGAACTACCCGTTACGTCAGAGATGAAACCGGTAGAGTTTTTTCCTTACCGGTCTAACGGGTCAGACCGAACCGGACCGGCACAATTTTTGTACCAGCCTGCCATTCAATATATATCAAAGCATCCGATCCATTCATGTTCTTTTTTTCATAATTACTCTAGGATAGGATCAATTATTATGTTTTTATTGCTCAATCACATCTTTTCAATTTATTTCCGCCATTTTTTCTTTCCATCAACAAAAAAAACTAAATTTTCAAGTAACACAAAAAAAATATAAAACAAGGTAAAATTTTCTCAATCAGCCATATTCGTNAATGAAAAAGAATTGTATCATACGATCCTTGATAAGAAGCCATTGATGCTCTCCATTTCTTTTTTTTTCCTCTTTAAAAATGTCACGACCTCTATTCGTATGCCTAATAAAACATAATAACACAGAGAGGTCCGAGAAAGTGAACCAAACATTACACAGCATCGTATGATACAATTCTTTTTCATTGTTGTTAATATTAAGATTTTTAATTCAGTTAGTCTATTTTAGGCCTTATCAAATTGATATTTGAAATTTCTATTTCTCTTTTCGGATTTCGCATTTTTTTTTTTTTTTTATATACATTTTCTTCGTTTATTCTTGTTGAATATTAGATATGTATTCTTATTCTTATTGGATATTTGTTTTTATTTATTATACATATTGATAGTGAGAAAAACAATTTAGAGTAATAACATTTAAATTTTGTCAAATGAATCTTGTATATATTGTAATTATCTGTAATTTGATTGTTTTTTATTTTGTTTTTGTCGTAGAGGAACATATTTTCTATTAAAAGCTGCAAATAGGAGTAGCTTTGTTTCTTTTTTTTTTTGAATCAATCGTTTGTCATTGTACTTTGAGATACTTTCTCATTTAGAAAAAAGTACTAACAAGTACTTTGTAAATTGAAATCAAATATCTAAATGTACTTTGTTGTCGATTTCTATTAAAAAACACTGTTTTTTTCTTTTATTTGTTAAAGAAAACGTACTGCTGATCGATTCCTTTTCTCGAATCAAACATTTCTGTTTAAATTAAATTTATTTTGGATCAATCTTGGTATATATATATATTTGTGAAGGTAGTATGAAAATTTTTTTCAATTGTAATCTTCGTCTTCAAATTAGGCATTGAAATCTTTTCTAGATTTGAAATGAGTGAATCTATTCTTAGTCACATTCTTCTTTATGAACGTTTATCTTGGGATTTACTTTTGTCTCAAGACAAAATACGAGTATTAGGTGTGACAGACCAATCAAGATTTCTTTCTAGTCTTGCTCTTGTTTTAAATGGAAGTACAACATGTACAGCTATTTATGTTGATCTATCTGATAAAGTTGTATTTATTGCTCGAAATGAACCCATCATAATAAATGATGAACGATATTTCGATCGATTTTTTCGTCAAATTCGAACTTATGCCACTTTAGCTAGTTTATGTTCAATCAAAGACAAAGCAATAAAAGAAGCTAAAGATCAATTGGATTCTCTTGTATGTGAATATAATTCGAAGAAGATGATGAATTATTTTATTGGTCGAAATTCTACAGTCATTGATGGATTAAGAAAAATGGTTAAATGGAATACAGATGAAAAATGTCCTTTTGTTGAAGAACTTCGTTCAAATAAAGAATCTTACACAGATGATCCATTAATGACCGAAAAAGTCTATTTAATATTCAAAAATTACACCGAAGAAGATTATATGGATTTTTTATTGAAAAAAGTCGATGAATTTTTAACAGCTCGTGATGAACTATTTCAAAATCAAGTCAATCCATCTGAGCATCAGCTCATGTTAGCAGCACGACTTGCAATGATACTTTATCAATCACGTTTATTTCGATTTATACTTAATCATTCGAGAGGAACAGCTGATAAAGGTGTTTATTATTTCGAAAAGACATCAGCTCATATACGGGCAAAAAATCTTCTTTTAAAATGTTTATTTAATAATAAAGAACGTTTTGGTCAAATATATAAAAATATCTCATGGAAACTCGTTCCACCAATTCAACAAACACATCAATTAAATATTACTCCACGACAAGCATTTGAAAACATCTTTAACAATCTACTTCATTCATCAAATGAAATTATCTCGAATATTCTTCAAAAGACTACAAGTGATTCTTTTTATAATCAATACTTGGTAAAATTAAAAATAATTGACGAAAAACCTGTTTATGTTGGTTATGTACATGCCGAAATTTTACTTATCGACTATATATTAAATAACAATATCAAGGAGGCAGATTATTTGAATCAAGTTGAGATAGGCATTTCGAAAATGCCTTGTTTACCATGTTGTTATTATATTGCTGCATTAAATAAAAAACATCGTCGTTGTTTTTATCAATCTGATGCAACACATGGCAAACTTTATGGTAAATGGATATATAGGTTGAACGAAGATCCATCTATCATTAATGAAATTAATGACAAATTAATTGAAAAACTTCAATATTTAATTCAAAAAATATTAGTCGAAAGTGGTCGTGATGGTCGTCCAAAAAAAAGTGGCGATAGCGACATAATGTTTACTTCAATGGAAGGCGATGAAATTGAAGAACAAGAATATCATGAAGTTGATCCTTAACAAGATCTTGGTATGTTTTCTTAGATTTCCATAAAATTCAATCTATTCTTGTGTATTTTTAGAGTGGCTGTTATTGCTTATGGACAATTTCAAATTTTATTAACATTTTTTTTTGCTAAGATCTTGATTATGTTCTTTTGTTGTTTTCTGTTGTTTTTTATTGATTATTAGAAGAACTTCATTGAACTAATTGTTTGTGTTCATCGTTTTGATGTTTACTCTGGTGAAATAAGTTGTTGAGAGAATATTGGTGAAGAAGTTGTTTCCTCAGAAATGATCCACACAACATATTAATGTAGACAATTCTATGATATGATCGATTGTAAGAAAGCATTGTGAGGGGAGAGTCTCATTTCAGGTACTTTGCTTATTTTTAATTATAGGCGCCTTGAATCGAAAATGAACAATATTTAATTCTTCAAACATATTTTTTCACCATTTTTTCTATAGGCGCGCTATAATAAAAAAAAACACACAAAATTTGTTTTCTCTTAAACAATAGATTTTTTTAGTATGAATTTTATAACGATTTGCAACTGATGTAATTTGCTGAATAAAAAACATCTTATTCATATTTATCACGGAAGTCTTATGGTAGATAGTTTTATACCTGTTTTTATCGTTGTGACCATTGAGAAAATTAAAATAATAATTTTTTTCAAATATTAAAGTCATACATAGATTAGATATCTTCAGGAGAATTGATATTTATATTCAAATATATTTTTGACAAGACTAGTGTTGATAGAACGCTGGTAGGATATTTTTTTTCTTTTACCCCCTGTTCTGATAAACTTCCAGGCAGATGACGACGATAGTATAAATATGGTCCTCTTGGAACAAAGTGAAGACATCNAGATAATACGTTTGGAGAAAAAAGGTTTCTTTCACATAAGTGCTCAAAAAATAGTCCAGTTTTAAGGTAGACGATATCTGAAGAGGAAATCATCTGTTTCAACTGAACTTTCAGGATATTATAAGAACTATCAGAGTTCAGTAAAATGACCATAACTCGAGAACAAAAACTTGATTGGAACGGAGTTTTTGAAGGTTTTTAGTCTTCGTCCTGCTACCAAAAGGAAAAAAGAACATAATAATTACCGTCATGAACACTATATTTTATAGATTTCTCTCGAAATTGTAGGGAACTACCTTATCAACCATAACCTTCTGGTAGAAGGTCATTAGTGCTGATGATAACCGTACTTAATAAAAAAGAAAGGTCTAAAATTCTAGATTGATTATAAAATTATAGTGTAATCGCATCATTATCGTATGTTACATTCGTATTTTCTTTCGATGTATAACAATTGACTGATGAAAACTGAATTAAACAGCTAATAATCGATTCTTGTTTTTTATTTGAGTTAAATTTAAATGATCCGATAATTTTTTTAGATCAGCTGAATTTCTACATAGATATCTCATTTTATATTAATATTAAGTTTATGATAGTTCTATTTCAATCTTGATGTACAAATTAGCTAATCTAGTTGAATAAAAATCTATTTTATATTTCAATCAAGAGGATACATTGAGATATTTGATAAGACTAATTCATCTAGATTCTGCTTACGAGAAAGGAACTTCGTCTACAAAATCCCTTCAATCAATCAATATGATACTACCATACAGTTCTCATACGAATCGAAACGAAGAAAAATCGTTGGTAGACCGTTCCATATTCAAACAATTGGCTATTCTCGGTAGTACGGGCATAAATATAAAAAACTTCTGGAAAATTTGACTTAATAATAACCATAAAAGTAAATATAATATGTAGATTTATTCGAAGAAAATGAGCACTAAAAATAGATGTAGGTAATGAACCGAAAAGAAAAAAAAAAACCCCGACGTTGAAAGTTTACTAAACCATATTTATTTCCTTAGAAGACACAAAATCCATCATACTGAATAATTTTATTTATAGATACAAGCAAAAAAAGAAAAAGTATCCTCATACAAGTTACATTCTCACGATGATTATGTTATTATTTGCATAGCATAACTAATGTTTTTTTATGTCAATATGGAATGTCATCAGATGAAGTTGATTAAGGTTCTTCTTCAATAACCTTTAATTCTCTTCGACGTTTTTCTTCTTCTATAAAATATTTAAAACAGAATATAGTTAAGTGTTTTTCTTTCTCAAAAAAAAAAAAAAAAAAATTTTATTTTTCTATTAACCTGCTTCTCTTATCCATCGTTCACGATTTTCTTTAAGATATTCAATCCATGGTCGTCGAACAGTTGTTAGTCGAGATATTGGTGTTGTCATTGATGATGGTTTTCTTTCACGTCTATTTATTCATATTCAAAAAATAAATTATGTATGCTTTTTTTTTTTTTATTACCCATTTTCTAGTTGTTCGTCATGTTGAGGATTTGAACCATTCGATGATTTGGGTGATGGTGGTGGTGACGGAGATGAAACAATGCTTTTAGCTGGTATTGACGGTGATGGTAGTTCAGAATCAGGAACAGATAAAGATTTAAGAATCTTTTCAAGCATATCACCCATAACGACAAATGAAGGTTCAACAATATATTGAATAAAACCTAAAATGAAAAAACAAAAAAGTCAAGAGAATTTAGATTATGAATAAAAATATTCTTTTATTTTTCTATATATATATTTATACCAATTTGAGATTCAGCAACAAGTGTATTATCTCGATCGCATAAAGGTGAACAAGGTAGACCAAGTTCTTTTTCTTTTTCACCTTGTTTAAAATATTCTTCCATTAATAATTCAGTCCATGTATGGTGCATAGTCCATGGTTTTCCTGGATGACTTATATCAGCGCTATGAAGTACAAGTGCTAATGCTTTAGATTTTTCAATACTAAAATTTTTTATAAAAAAAATAAATCTTAATAAAAAAAAAATAAATAATTAACTTACTTTTCTGGCATACTTAAAAGACTTTTCATTGTTTTTAATTGTGTAAAATGAGAACTCATATCGGTAGCAAGAACCATTTCAATAACCAAATGTCGAAAATTTCTTTAAAGAATAAAAAAAAAAATTTTTTTTTTTTCTTTCATTTATATAGAAACACAAACAGATGATCGAAAAATTTTTTTCATAAGATATTTATTCATTTTTGACCTACTAGAAAATATTTTCGACGCGTCAAAAACTATGAAAATTTTGTATACTTAGAAAAGTAGCTCTTGAAAAAATGCTTGTAATTTCACTTGGATGAAAAGTTTTTGCCTGTAGATACTACATTGTGTTCTCATACAAACTCTAAATCGATCAGAATTTGGCTAAACTATAGAATTTTTTTCTAGAGGTCCCAAATTTTCTGAACATCTGGCACCAGGAGAAAAAAATCGATAGCTTAGTCAAGCCAAATTTCTTTTAGAATTGTCATTAATACACTACGTAGTATCTATAAGCAAAAAAATCATTGAAATTGGAAGAGAACAATTGAAGAGATTACTTCATTAGTTTAATATCATATTTTGTAGAGAAATGTTCGGTCTACAAAAAGATCGAGGCCAAGATATTTTGAGCTTTTCAAAAGATTATTTCACTATACTGGAATAAAATGTCTAAGCTCATATTCAAAAAGAGTGCTAAAAATCATAATTTTTGATTGGTCGAAAATATTTTCTAGCAGATCAAAATTGAATAAACATCCTGTCGCAAAGCTTTCCGATTGTATATTGTTAAATAATTTTATTTTTAATTATACTTACTTATATTCATCCGATGAAAATTCAGATAATATATTATAATCATCTATTCGCATTAATCGGAACGCAGCGCTTACGTGATGATTTTCAAGTACAGCACGATCATTATATATTAATGCAACATCCGATCTAATTTCAAACAAAAAGAAAAAAACAATTAAAAAAAGTGTCTTGGGTACATCTTAAAAATTCATCATACTCAGTTTGTAAAGATACTATTATATTTCTTATATTGTTCTGAGTACTAAAGCATTCCAATGTTCTCATAAAATGAATTCATCTACTATTAAAAGAAAATAGTTCTCAAAAGCGTGAAATGAATTAAAACAAATTTCTCTTTTCTACGAAACATTGCCGAGCTGAAAATTCGAATTAATTCTCTACGAACAAAGCATCAAAAGCTCATTTTCTAGTGTTATATTTCAGCTATCTACACAACTAATTTCATACAATTATGAATATTTTCTTATGCTTTTTTATGCAGAGAAAAGTCATTTGTTGCCATTTGAGATCAGAGCTGCGTAATAGTTCAGCAGATAAAGTTCAAATTCTTAAAAGAACTTTTCCTGTAATTGAACAGTAGTACAGTAGTCGTGGAACATTGTCAGAGACATACACAATTATTCAAATAGATAAACTCATATTGTAAGTAATGGAACATCTTGAACTTGATTCCAGTTGTAAGCAAAAACGTGTTAGCATTATCTCGGTGGGATTAAAATGTAAAACATGATGTAGCTGCTCGTGCTAATTACAGAAAACTGGTTTTTTATTCGATCTGATTTGGAACACATTTCTTCACCAACTTTTTTGATTAATCCTTCAGAAATGCAATAAGGATGTTGTAACGAGATGTTATTGATAAACTGTCTGTGTGGTAGGTTCAAACTTTTATCTCTAATACTTCAACACTCTTCTTAGATTGTGCTTCATAAAAGTATCAAGTTTATCAAATTGAAAAGTTCGATGCAACGAAAAAATACTATTCATAATAATTCTTTTCATTCATAGACAAACGAGCTAGAGTATTGATACTGATCTGCATTTTTCACGGAGTATGTTCACATCAGTTTTCAAACTTCTAACATTTATAATAGCTAACATTGGATAAGATCCCAAGATGTTCCTAGCGGAGGAGAGGTCATCTTTCTATCTTGAGAAATTTTCGATTTTTTTCCCGACATTTTCTTACTCAAGAAGTTCTCAAAACAGTATTGTATGGTTACAATAAGTCTATTTCTCAAATAATTCATATCAGCAGCACATCTGTTTTTTTTTTTTACCTTGATTGTATGTGAAAATTATTCGATGTTCCTGTATGTTCAAAATCATGAATAATAGCTGCAATAAACATTGCAAATAATTCATGATCATTGAGCCAATTCTAAACGAAAATGAAAAAATCTTAAACATAATTAAACATAATGAAGATGTCATTAAATTCCAAACATGCTAGACACAAACAAAAACTAGACTACTAGAGAATTGATTCTATTAACAAAAATCTACTAAGCAAATTAGACAATTAAACTCCGTTAACCTCTACCATGAGACCAGAATTGTAAATGATTTGATATGTTGTTTGTAAAACATCAGCAGCATGAATTAAATTATGATATGGATTACGATGTTTACTATAACCACTTTCCATTTGTTCAAGAAAATTTTGTAATGCATTTATAGAAATCTAATAATACAAAAAAAAAACATCATACTTATTATTGATTTTGTAAAATACAATCTAATAGGAATGCTGAATTATATTAGATAGAAATTCGGAAGATCTCTACAGTGTGCATCTATAGGCAGATATATGACTAAAAATGAAAAATCGCACTTTTTTCAAGATTTAAATATAGGAAAATATTTAACTTTGTTACAATCGTCGAAGAAATCGGGAAACTCATTTCCTAAAATTATCCTGAAAATCTTCATGTCACCGGAAAAATTTATATCTGATAAAATTGAATTGTTCGACAGGCAAATCAAGTACTTTTTCGGAATCTTCTAGTGTCAATCGAACGATTAGTCCCATAAGATAACTTGAAAAAAAAAATGAGAATAAGAGTTCTTCTCAAGTACTTTTCGTCAATAAACTTTTTTTTCAGATAATACTTCTCTGCATCATATTCAATTATTATTAAGCCCGAAAATCACATGTCTATCTGTCATGCAAAAAACTGCACACTTTATTCTTCTCTCGTTCACAGGTCCTAGTCAGAGACCATTGCAAAACCGTATATCAATAACATCTTGTTACTACTTTCTTATTATATTTCTGGATCATCAAGTAAAATAATGGTAAAGAGATATATTCCAAAATAGATAGAATAAAGCACTCTATATAATTAGCAAAAGCGTTCGTATCATCTTTCATATTTTAATTCCGTAGGGATATTGTGCTAACATTTTTTCTTTTGTATGAAAAGAATGAAAATCTTACATGAAGTTTATTTGGTAGATTATATCGTTGCATAAGTTCAAAGCCAACATAACGTAAACTTTGACCATTTGTAAATTCGTTTACAGAAAATACATCAAAACTCCATTCATTAATTGTCTTAAAAATAAAAGAAAAAAAAAAAAAAATTGTTTAAAATTTTTCAATTAATTAATTTCATTAATAATTATTATTCTTATTGAGACAATATTTAAAGCATATACATCGATTACATTCATGCAAAAATAAAAAAAAAAAAAAAAGAAGAAGATGATCTTTACTAATTGAATATTTCACGGAAACTAACTTACTTGACGTACAGTATCAATAGAAATAGCCAAAATATTCCGTCGAAAAAGTCTAAAGGATGTCTCATTGTCTTTTTTTTTCATATGATATAATACTAGCTGACATTTATTAGTATTTGGGAATAGAAAAGAAAAAAGAAACAACAATGTTCATAGATGTATATGTGTGTGTGTGTGTGTGTGTGAATATTTAAGTGCAAGACAAAATTGAATGCAAAAAGTACGACATCATATATGATACTTTTAGAATTAAGGAACTCAAATGAATAAAATACCTTAAATTTAATGTCGATAGATAGACGTCTTAGATACCTAGAAAACATACATAATAACAGATGGATGCCACACGTTCAATATATCAGTATGAAAGTCATATGATTATACATGCATATTATCAAACAAAATAATTTCTTGTGTTATTTCTTATTATGTAGTATTATTATGATTATCATACCTTTAGTTTACCTTGTCGAAACCAATCTTTAATAACCCTGATAAAGGATAATTAGAAGAAAAAGATAAGAGAGAGAAAAAAAAAAAAGATTAAAACAGTTGAAGTACACAAATAAGCATGTGGTTTTACATATAGAATTAATAGAAGAATTGTTTTATCATATTGCTATACGCCCACGTCTTGCTCTACATAGATTAGAAGATATCAAATATTGGATTATGTCCACGTAGGTAAATGTACCAGAAGAATCTTCTATTGAGTTTGCCATATTTTCATTATCAATAATTAAAAACAAATCGAATCTATTCCAGAAAATCTCGACAGTTTAAAAAACAATTAATTAAGCATCAGTTCTCACAAATGAAAACTAAAAATATTTCTGATTAGTATTTAATCTAGATTTTTCTCTTTCGAACAGACGATTATAAATGCTAGAAAAGACAAACATCTATTTTTCTTTCTTTTTTTTTTGGTAAGCATAGAACATAGAATGCGTGTTACAATAATCACGAACTCCGACAGAACTAATTCAATTCTCGAAGGAATATCACCTTCACGCTAAATGAAACACTATTTCTGATTAAATATTTTAATTAATGAAATAATTAAGAAAACGTCTTCTATTATGTCAGAGTTATCGCTTTTTCAGAAAGAATGTTCTATTATGAATAGAACGATGGTTATCTCTGATAGCTGAAGGATAGAAGAAATCAATTATAGCAAAAATGTATATATATATATGTATGATCATTTATCAGTTTTTCTTTTGCTTCATATATTATAAGCAAGAATAGATGAATATATTACGAACCTATCGACCATAATACCAGCACGTATAGCTTGTGCTACACTTTTGAACTTTGGTTTGTCTGATGGACGTCGTTTAATAGTTGACATTGATCTAGTAAATGTCATTGCTAACCAATCTCGTACTTCGTTTGGCACAGAATCCGGCTCAATTTCTGATAATGCACCATCGTCTTCTTCCATCAATCGTCTAGAATATAGAATATAAACATTATATCAATATTTCTGATTTTTCTTTTTAATTGCTTCGAATCAGTTTTTTTTTTTTATTCATATTAAAAAAAACAGGAAAAACTTATCTAAAATTAAATGAGAAATATCTCATTTTCTATTTCATTGCTAACATGACAATTATCGACAATACATTTTTTTTTTCAATGTCAACATCAATATAAAACTGATGATTGTGGGTGTCAAAAGTGTTATTGTTTGCCTCTAGGCGCAAAAAAAATGTATGCTAGAATGATTGAATATATAAAGATGTATTTATGTAAATTCTTCAGAAGAGAAAATAAAGTAACTTATATAAAATGGGATACTCAACTATGCAAAATATTCTTCAAAATCTTCTATAACGGAATAAGTACTATTTTCATTCATATAGGTTACCTTGTTTCATCTTGATGAACAGCTTCAAGAACATTTGCTACATAATCCAAATTTCGAACAAGATCTTCTTTACGTACAAGTATATTACAATGAAGAGCCGCAATTATTGTTCGTAATCTAAAAATAATAAAATAATTATTTTCATAATTTCGTTAATTCTTACCTATCACTGCCAATTTGTAATGCATCAAATGAATCAGGTTTTGGTAAATTATAAACCTTACTTAAACCAGTTACATCATGTTCAATAAGATCAAATGGAGTATTGGTAGGACCACCTTCATTATGACTACCAATACGATGATCATCACCACTTGATTTTGATTTATTGGAAAATATCGGTGATAAATTTTCTGATAAGAACATCACTTTTATATTTTGATAGGAAAAAAAAAGAAAGGAGTAATTCAATTATCTTGAACTCAAAAAGAACCAAAACTAATGTTAATTGAAATAATTTTATTTTTTCAGCTCTATTCAATCAAGCTTTCTATAGTTATAACTAATGCAAGTCAAGAGAAGAAAACAACTGACATAGTAGACAATGCCTGTTTGCATTTTCTCTTCAACAAAAAAAAGAAACAGAGAAAGACAGAGCATTTCTATGTTGCTATATATATATATAGAACAACATAATATAGACTGCTATCAATTGTCATGAATGTCATCAGTCGAAAAATTATACTCTATCGTCGACAGACAAACACCAATGAATATTCATCACGTCTCTTGGACAGATAGATCTATTTTTGTCTAAAGTAGTTATAAGTCTGAACAAAACTCATTTATCCTAGTTTTTGTTTACATTAGAATAAGAAAAAAAACTAACCATCATCATTATGTATAACTGTTGTTGTAGATGATGCTTTAGGAGATCTTGATGCATGATGATGATTATGTGATTTCGTTTTGGATGTACCTGATACTAAAGAAAAACATTAAAGATAAAATTAAATATAGAAAAAAAAATTTTATCATCGATAATTTGTTAAATTATTGAGTTTATTGAAAATCTAACCAAACTTACTTCGACAAAGTTTCATTTGATCTAAATTTTTGTTGAAACAAGTCAATTTATCTAATCGATAATAAGATGTTTGGATATACTAATAAATTGTTTTTTTTCTGGAAAGTGGAACTTATGGAAAAAGAAAGTATGTTCGGGTTTCGCGCGAGAGTCCAAAGATTAGCTGGAAGATAATAATAGAATATATCTCATACACTATAGCAGAAAATTTCAAATAATTATTCTCGTCCTACTAGGTCATAATGTTTTGTTTTCAAATAGCGGATGGGACTACACCTCCTCCCGCACTTTTGCGTGACTTGAATATGTTCATTTTAGAATAATGATTGTTATAGCTTCGTCTGATAGAAATGAAATAGAGTAGCAAGAGTAAGGACAAGACACATCATTTTTTCTATTTTTGTTTTCGAAATGATTATTGTATTTTAGCGATTTCCGATGATCTGATTTACTGTCTACTCAATCATATATTTTTTTTTGCCTTAGACTAATTCTTAAATGAATCAAATTTATTCGATAATTCACTTTCAAAAAAAAAAGATATCTATATTAAAAGATGAATCGATCGAATAGAAGTCACTTATAGAAATTTCTTAAGTAGAAAATTCGAAAATATTTATCTTTTTCTTGTTTAGAACTTTTGTCAATTATATTTTCAAATGATTTTTTGTTTTTTTTAGTTAAATATTAATCTATTGTTACTATTTATTTATTTTTTTTCGTTTAATGCTTTCTTTCATTTGTTCAACGTCATGTAAATTATTATTGCTAATAGAATCTAAAATAAATTGCATCGTACATTTTCTAACATAGTTACTAGTGGATCAAACTTATGCTGTAAGATCTTTCTTTTTTTCATAAATAACTACCAATAACAAATGAATTTTTTAACAATATTCAAAAGATTGAAGATGTCAAAACAATGCTCAAATTACATTTGAAAGATGTTGCTTATTTTCTTTTTCTCTTTGGATAAGATATTCTTTCGAAATTATGTATTATTTAGTTTGTATTTTTATGATAAACATAATAATAATAATAATAATAATAATAACATTTAACAGATAAAAAGAAAACCATGTTAATTCGTTATATTACATATGTATACATCTAATAGATCCAGTCTAAGTAGATGGGTTTTATATCATGAAAACAAAATAATTACTATCTTTTGAACATTTTCACAACAAATATAGGATTAGTATAAGTTCTTGTTAATAGGAAGATCCTTAAAAAGAGAATGTTTTTTTTTTTCATTTGTTCTCTCGTGCTTTTCAATTCTTCTAGTATAAATATTGCTGTAAAAAAGTTCACAATGATTAAGCATGATGACAACTTATTAAGACTATGTGAAGTATGACATTAGGCTAAATTTTTTGACATCGCTTATCAATAAATGGTGATCATGATATATCAATACCTTTGATTGTTTTAGATGATAGATTTGTTAATGAAGTACCAATAATAATAAGTGATGAACCAGATGTTAATCGTATTTTCCGACCAGGCATTTTTTCTTAATATGCATGAATTATAAACATATATATAGATATATAGAAAATAGATATGCTCGTTNATCTAAAAGATCCAGTCTAAGTAGATGGGTTTTATATCATGAAAACAAAATAATTACTATCTTTTGAACATTTTCACAACAAATATAGGATTAGTATGAGTTCTTGTTAATAGGAAGATCCTTAAAAAGAGAATGTTTTTTTTTTTCATTCGTTCTCTCGTGCTTTTCAATTCTTCTAGTATAAATATTGCTGTAAAAAAGTTCACAATGATTAAGCATGATGACAACTTATTAAGACTATGTGACGTATGATATTAGGCTGAATTTGTTGACATCGCTTATCAATAAATGGTGATCATGATATATCAATACCTTTGATTGTTTTAGATGATAGATTTGTTAATGAAGTACCAATAATAATAAGTGATGAACCAGATGTTAATCGTATTTTCCGACCAGGCATTTTTTCTTAATATGCATGAATTATAAACATATATATAGATATATAGAAAATAGATATGCTCGTTTCTGTATGTAAAAGAAATGAATTACATATTGCAAACAGAACCTTCGTGTCTATGAAAAATACTCACATTTCACTGACGATCAACACTAGATAAACAAGTGGGAGGATGAGAAGGTGGTATAGCAACACTGCATTCTAAGAATATTATCTTTTTTCTGTTGCACGACGACGACGATGACGAAGTTCAGCCAAGATTTGCCTAATAATAGTGATGATCATGCGAAAAGGATTTTTTAAGAGAAAGTGAGAAAAAAAAAAGCAGAATAAGAAAAGATTTATTTTTGTGCTCATCAACATCCTTTTTGAAGAAGTAGTAGTAGTAACGAGGACTACCGGCACTCTTCGGCAACTATTACTCTCTCGTCTTCTTCTTTCTTTTCACCTTAGAAATGGAAGAACTATTACAATTATGACAAGAAAAAAAGACTGACTAGAAGAAAAAGGCATAGTGTATTAACATGAATGAGCAGTACGACAAACTAGTCGAACCAAAAATAGATAAATATAATGACCGAATGAGCGCACAGAAAATACAAAGAAGCGCTGACACATTTTTTTTAAAGATCAAACAATTTGATACTATTATGTTAAAGAGCGTATTGTTTTAAAAAGTAAAAAATACCAGAAAATCTTGTTCTTAACATATAGAAAAAGAAAGAACAATCTTATCTTTTATATTCATAGGTAAAATTCAATTCATATTTATAACTCTTCTTATATTTATTTCCACGTTTTATTTTTCTTTATACAAATTTCAAAAATAAGAACCAGCAGACACAGAAAAAAAAAAAGCATGTCGTGTAACAACAATAATGATAGCAAAAAAAAAACTACACAAACTTCACATTTACTAAAGATAGAACAGCACCAATATACACCATCGGTGACTTTTTTTTCTTTTGTTTTGTAAGATATCGTTCAATGGACGGTTTATAGAATATAAAAAAAAAAAAAAAAAAAAACAAACAAAAAATTGAAAAATTAAGATTCACTAATTGTTTTGGTATTTGAATAAATATTTCGATTATTTTTCGCTGCTTCCTTTGTTAATGACTGTTCATATTTAAATAATTCAGCAAGTGTTACATTATTTGATACATAAGATTTTTTTTCTAAACGAGGTGAAAGACGAGATGCAGCCATGTTTGCTCGTGCTAATCGAATAGGTGTTTCACTAAATAAAAAATAAAAAAAAATAAATTTCAATTATTAATCAATTATATTTATCTACTTATTTAGTTTTATTTATTTTTATTTCATCAATTAAATATTTTATTTTGTTATTTCCGGTTTATTTCAAAAAAAAATATATGTCATGCTAGCGAGCATCATGCAAAGAAATTACGTTATCATTAATTTACCTGATTTTACATACGGAGAGGAAAAAAAAATTATGAACTAAAATATGGAGAAATTTATTATTTATGTATCGTTGATCACAATATGGATGAATGCATTAAATTTCTAAAAAAATGAATTTAAGTATAGCTTTTAAGATATTTTACGGTTGCAAGATTATATTGATAGAAATGTTTTTTTTTTTTTCGATGTGAGCACGTATAAATTTATTAATCATGGAATATTTAGTAAGAAAGAAAAAAAACAATTATTATTCAATAAGCATAGATTTAAAGTATATCTTATTACGAAGATATTCAATCGGTTTATTGATATTCGATAGATCAGAGTTGAACACAGGACTCGGCTTTTTTTTTTTTTCTAATCATATCTTGCCATAGGGAAGATTAAGTCGGAAATAAAACTACTTATTTTAATTTTCGATCATCAAAATATATATTTATTTAACAATGACATAGGATTTTATCTTGATTTTCTCTTCCGGAAAGGCAAACATCTATTTTCGGGAAACATAGACACATAGTAGGTGGTAAAATAAACACAAATTCCGGAAGGATCAATCCGGTCTTTGGAGGGACAACTTCATGTTGAATAAAACATTACAATGGGCGTGTGAATAGATGTAAGAGAACACTTGCACATCTGCGTTCTCAACACGCAATATGTACTACAGATGGGATTGATTTTGTGCCCAAAAATACCACGAATTGATCCTTTTTCTGGTGCGTATTATGCAAAAATTGTAAAAAAAAAATAAAAACTATGTTAAATACAGAATTAATTTCTCTGCCGTGTTGACATTTGTCCTGCTGAGTAGTAGGACGAGACCGTTCTGTCTAATGATATGTTTAATTATACTCTTAAACTCAATATGAGATTAACAAGCTAAACCAAAATAGCTTAGCATTAGTATTCAATAAAAGAATAGGATCCACTAGTACTTTTCTTGGTCGGTCTTATTAAGTCATCTGTCAAAGAAAAGAGCATGTTTCGATCAAATTCTCTAACGTAAAAGCTATCAACCAAATAACGCATTTTCGTCATTATTCTAATAATCCATCCTATCATAATGGATTCAATTTGAGAATAAACGGACAAGACAAAATACTACTAAAATTATGACATTGATAGCTCTTTGATGAGCCTTTAATCCTATAGATGAATCAATAATTGGCTGTTCAATTTAACGAGATATAAGTTTGGTGTACTGGTTGACATTCTTAGCATATTTATCATTCATTCTTATCTTTCACGAAAGTTTTTAATTGAAAAATTAACCTAACCAAAATTCTGATATTACGCATTTGATAGTTATTTTAACAAAAATACATAATCATCTATTTTCCAAAGTCAAAAAAATTTAATCATTCGAAAACTTCCTTAACACACTACTTTCGAGATACATTTCTGTGGGTTTTTTTTTTTTCAAATCAATTTTTGAAAATATTCAATTTGAGGGATGAAAACTAATATGATATTCGGAATCAGACTAAAAAAAAACGAAACCTCTTGAAACTAATATCAAAATATTAATTTTAATATGCTGTTTTCGTTGATATATAATTCAGCAGAATTGACAAAGAAAAGTACGAGTGAACTGATTTGATTACTTATGTGTTCCATTACTAATTCTTTCGCAGTAGATTAAAAATATTTTGATCGTTCAAGAAGATACAGGAAACAATAGAAAAACAAAAATCTATTAATGTTATTGTTACCTATATAATAAACTTTCTCGTGCTCGTTCAAATTGTGAAGCTGATTCTGTATGTAATTGTTGTGAATCTTTAACAAGGTTATCAGTTTGATGTAGAGTAGGT